AGGAACGTTTGTATACAGTGATGTTACATCGAACGATTCCATTACATTCCCTTCCTCTAACCTGGCCTCATGGAGTTTCTCTAGGAACATAGTGTCATATTAGTGTTTGTCAGGTGTGAGGGGACAAATTGAAGAAGTTGCCCGAATATGAGGTTAGGAACTAGGAGATCCTATCCGTTGGGCCGCCCACACTGCTTTTAATAGGTCTCACCTTGAAGTCCGTAGGGTCAGAAATCCCCAGCCCTTGACGAGGTAGTTTGTGGGTTTTGATAGGCACGTACAACACGGGGTAGGTGGGTAAATCGCACTTCAACCTGGTCACCAGGCTCCTTTGCAAATTTGCTTACTTAGCGACTTCAGCCCAGATACCGTGCTGGGAAAGGCGGGGTGAATTGCTGCGATCGCTCCAACGCGCTGGGCGCTGTTGGCAAGGGTTTCCTTTTTGGCCTTTCGGCGTAGGCGATCCTGCAGGGATCGCAAGTTCCCGACTACGTTACGTGCAGCAATGTGATTAAGAGACTGACTGGGTGCGTAGCTTGGTCCCGAGTCCAACCAGAAATGGCGCCCTCAGAGAGCCTCACATTCCCAATGACCGTCACCTTAGAGCCAAACACTCGTTCATCGCCATTCTTTGGAGCCACAGAGTTATTAAAACCATACTCGGAGTGCCGGTAGAAGTTCTACCCGCCAAAAGGAGGGTGGCTTTCGACTTAGTTCTAAGATATCCTAGCCCGTAGTTTCTTACTCTAATTAGAAATGGTGCTTGAATGAATTGTTTCGATGATAGGTTTCGGGGGCTGAAGAAACATTCTGAATTGTTACAAAGAATTTGTGCATGTGGTGAACTGTTGTTTGTTGTTGTTGTTGTTGTTGTAACTGTTGCAGAAAACATCGTCACAGCTCCGCATGGTTTCTACAACAGTTGTAACTGATGTAGAAAACATGCACAGCTGTGACGCTCTATAATGGGACTTGCACGACACGGATTGGTGATTTCGCCTGATCTGTCTGCTACCTGAAATATACAAACCCTTTAGAAGAACTGTTCTAAACAGGACTGCAGAGCGCTAGATGAAGTGTAGCCACGCGAGCAAGTTCGGGTCCAACACAGAGCATAATCTACGGTAACGAAGCTCATTGAGGTGTTGTGGGAGTATAAGATGGCAGTATAATTTCTTTTAGCTAAAAAAGAGAGTTATCGAAGTGATGCTCCTGCTCAATGTATAAGAATTCTTCGTGAGTTCCGGGGTGACTTCACAACTTCATATCCATAATTTCACATTCCTCAAGGAGGACGTCATTATCGCGAAGATAGGCATCTGAGAGAGCGATACCTTTTTGAGCACTGCAGCGGCTTTACAACAAGGATTACGCTGTTCTACGAGGAGATACTGACGTATAAAGAAGGGTTCGATCAGGACAATATCATCTTGCCCAAACTTTTGAGCACTGCTCTCAAGAATGTCATACATGAAATGGAATGGGAAGAAATGGATTGAGAGTCGGCGGCCGGTAACTGTAACATCTCCGCTTCGCTGAGCACATAATAATATTGAATATCGAGCAGTAGGGGTGAACGCTGGCCATTTCAACTACCGGTGCAGAAGCTGAACAGCTAAACATTACGGCAGCATGCTCGTGCGGAATGGATTGGTTCCTAAGGCGTCATCTTGACTGAGCAAAGCGAACATCTTCGAATGCTGTATATTTACCAGGGTTGGGAAATCAATGACGATAATAAAGCTAGCCCCAGAGCTAATCAGGAGAAAGTTTAGTTCTGTCCTTAGACAGCCAGAGCCTTTGCTGACGGTTGCGCTAAAACGACAACATGTTGAACAGGTTTCTGACTCCAAAACACTGGTGCGTTTAGCTCTCCCGCGGTGTATACCCAGTCACTCGAACAAGGACCTCTAGAAGTACTCGGGATCTCTTAGCTGAGACAGCCTCAATTCGAAACTGAAGATTTTAAGTAATCATGAATGACGTGAACTCCGAAAGGGTGAGTGTGAGTGTCTTCGGTTTTAAAAAAAAAGCGCCGCGTGCCTCTGTCCTTGGAGTGGATGTCGACACAAGATCCAAAACCGCTGATCGGTAATACAGTTTTGATCAGACATTCCACCCTCATTGGAGAACAACGGCGATGACTCCAAAGTCTAACAGCGACACCTTGAAACAACACGAAGTCCTTGATCAACCGCTTGTTGAAAGCAATACCCCGTAAGATATTAGTTTGCAGCTGCACCCTGAGTATTTCCGGGATAAATTCGGGTCTTGGCGTCGACATTACGGATGCACGATGTTCGAACCACTGACATTTGCGCATACGATTTATCAGGTTGACCGTAAAAACCCTGCGACACTTCGAACATACATAATGTACAGAGCGAGCCTCTAGAATTCAAAAGTCTAGAAGGTGAGATGATGGTCAAAAAAAATATCGTTCACCATGTCATACTAGTGCCTTAACGGTAGCAAAGCTTCATGGCAAAGCTTCAAGATACTTTGTGTGAAAACGAGCAAAGTTTTGGTCGACACCACGAAGAAATTCGCAGGTAACTCTGCGCTGCACACGTTCAATAAAAATCGAGCTTTTCTGCGATCTTGATTATCGGGGAAGGCTGCATCGGCCTGGCAAGGTGAACCGATGGTGGACGGGTCTCTCTATCTTATACTCTACCGTATTCACCGTTTGGAATGACTTCTTGACGAGAATACAGGCGAGCAAGAAGATCTAGATCTTCACAGGACCCGTGTACGTCAGCTATACAGGAATCAAGCACATATACGCGAAAAAAGGTTATCATTTTCTGTTCACAGAACACTTAAAAGATGCAACTGAGCATTACTCTGTTACAGTGACGACCACGAATTCGAAAATTTTCGAAGCAAGCAGCAAAATGGGGTTCTTTTATCATGACTAGATGATTCCCACCAAAAAAATAACTGTCCATACGAAGTTCCGCGCAGGGTCTTCCTCATATTTTTTCAGTCATTTTTCTTTTGCAGTTTTCATAATTGTAAGGCCACTCTGAGAAAATAAACAACTCGTCAATGATACTTGGAAGAAAGCTGATAATTCTATGCTGTGTTACGTTTGAGACCGACGTCAAATAGCCTTAGGACTGTTATGGAAAGAGAAATACGATGCAGCCTACCATCGTTTACAAATCTCTAGGGCTCAAGGATCTCCTGCCTCAGCCCTTCCGTATTCCGAAAATGGTTGATAAAATGATTCTTTCTGAAAATGATGCTCAGGTCTTCTTCATCGGTCTGTAGTCATATAGTCTAGTCATATCAGAACACCTATTTTTGAACGTTTAGCCAAGACGACGACATTTCCCTTCAGGGAAAAAGTGGATTCAGCTGATCTTCTCCAAGAAACAGGCTGGGTTTTTTCTACGAGGGCTGTTCGTGGTCCATTCCAGATTTTCCAAAAAGACGTTTCAGCGTGATTACATCACAGAAGGGACTCAGACCACCCTCTGCCAAAAAAAGCTTCAATTGAAGTGGATTGGCTCCTCTTGCAAACCACCCAGTGATGCCTGTTTCTATCGAAACCGCCTCAAATAAACTTCACCTCGCCGGCAAAGACGACTTGCTCTGCACTAGTTAGGTGTGAGGTGCGATTGTGGTGCGTATTACTCCAATCTTTTCAACGGTTTGCTTTGTGAATTAAAGTTGTATCGCTCTGCCACAATAGGTAAGCCCTTTGAAATTATAGATTTCATGATTTCTCATGCCTTCGCCCCTTCTCACCTCCCGTGAGGCTGTGCCTTACGGGAGGTGAGAAGGGGCGAAGGAACGATCCAGTACTGCGAGAATCCCGTTTACGGGACCGTGTTCTTCCAATCAGTCCTCAGGATTTTTCTCTGATCAACAAAGAATCTTGTGTGCGCCCGAAATTTATAGAGTCCAGTTATATATAGTATAGTCCAACTACATAATTAATTATTTACATTTATAGTCCGAAGACACTGGAGTTCTCCAGCAAGTCTTGAATTGAGCAAAGTTTTCCGATTCGTCTAGTAATGGCACTCAGACTCAGGGCAGCATTCGAAACGACTCCTACAGCCTAAGAATATTTTTTTCCTCAGAAGTCCACTCTAACTTCGCGACCCTGTAGTAAATAAATGGTGCAAAAGTGGGAAGACAATTGTAGAAAAAAAAGGTGAAAGATTCTGCAACTAAAATCTGAATGGAAGAGTTAGTCTTGTGAGCAACATTCAATCGTGTCAATAAAATTATCAGCATTGTTTAGAAAATGCAAAAATCTGGGGTAGCCTTGTAATCATAAGACTCACTGTATATAGCTCATTAATGGTAATGCATCTGGCAGCGTGTCAACGAAAACGGGGGTAGAGACCACCTCCAGAAGGCAAGATTATCTCTGCGAATAAACACTGACAGGAACTCTCCAGTTTTTTCGAATGTGGTCGAGCTCTGCTTTCCTATTGGGCGAAATGACACTGTGAGTTTTGAACCTTCAAAGCATTGATATCTTTTCAATATCAAGGAAAAAAGAACAATTTGTTTTGGCCCCGAAACACTATTTCGAGAAAGCGCGGAAGTTCAAAAAATGCAAGCCCTGTAGACATTGCGAATAGCTGTTACTGAAAACTGTACCTAGCGTGCCCTTCATCCAAAGAATGATTTTTATAACATAAAGTATAAAGTGAAAAAAAATTCAGAATGAGTCGGTTGGGTCAGAAGAAAGTTGAGAAGGAAGCATTGTTCTAGCGAAAATTTTTGACTGCTACTATTAATCAGAAAGCATATTGACTCATGCTCAAGGGCGTCAGTATGATGTAGAACGGATCTTGGCTTGCACTCCACATGCATGTATGATAACATATATTAACGCGAGCTGCATAAAGAATTTACATTCCCTCCAAGAATGCAAAAGACTACGAATGGAATGGATTGTATTATAAAGGACTTTTCCATTGCATTCCTGGAGAAGTAGAGAAAATAACAATCACGGAATCATTTAAATACATAGGTTAGACCTTTGACTTGTTCCTCTCAATATACGCGTCAATTTCTTCTGGAGGAAGTGGCCGATCTCGAACACAATCGGGTCTTCGTTTATGAGCTATGGTAGGATCGCTCGCTTCCGAATTCAGCTCCTCAGCGGCTTCGCTCTGTAGGAAAATTACACCATTCCGTTGAAATATTTCTCTACCTTGTTTGCAACATAATAAATTCAGATTAAACCTTGCGAGGAACTTCGTTGAGTTTGTGAATGACAAGTCCATACGTGATTGGGAGATCACTGTCTTCATTATCCGAAAGTGGCAGCTGACACCTTAATTTTCATTATAGGTCACGTAAATGCGGCGATGATAAAAATAGAAAATAGCAGTGTAGGTTGACAGAATCCTCGCACGGCTGTCATCAACTGAAATCAGCCTTACGTCACCAAATGTTCCGAATTTCCATTAGCGTCGATCCGCGATTTGAGCAGCAAATTCGAATCCAAGCGACGCGTTGGAGGTGACAGCGCGAGATTTCCTCGACGTCTGCTGAAACCGACAGGCTGTACTGCGACCGGGCCAAATCTCTGGAACATTATATTCGGGACAACACTTGCCGTTCATAACTGACCGATGACAGTCAACATTTACTACAGGTGGAAGGTGTTTACACCAACCGTCTGAGCCAATGTTTATACCGTCCACCATTTCAGCACTATATTGCTCTCAGAGGCTAAGGTTTGACTTCATCATTCATTCCTTAGTTCGTTCCCTCACTCCCTTCCAACTTCTCCCAAGGTCCTAATTTCAGACTGCCTTCGTGCCAACTTGCTTTATGCGAACTATATCTGGTTTTTGAGGCCTCATCTTTCGTTCCTATCACAAAAGGTCGCTAGTATAGGTACCAGAGAATATCCCAAAGAACTCATCATAATTTGAGAATTGTGAATATTACGGTAGCAACCTTGCAGCGCTAAAAACGGTTGCGACGAAAATAGAAACAAATCACGTATCCCGTTCCACAAATGTTGCCCTTCTTTGCAACAATGATAGCAGGCCGAATATCAGGATCGATAGCCTTGCGAACACTGCGGTCTCGCTTCCTTTTGTCTAGAACTACGGCAAATGAGCTCGAAAGAAGTCGTCGATCTCGTTTTCGAGTTAACCGAATAAATGTTTCCATCTCTAAGGGATATGCTGGTGACTAAAATAGGTGGTATTTGGAAATACTCGGTGCGGAGACTGAGCAGGATGCGGCGGAGTTCCCAGCGGAGTCCTGTAACCTAGATGCCATCTTCTCCAAATGGTAGAAAGAAATTGAGTGCTTCTGCTGAAAGAGTTAGAGCTCGATGCCATCCATGTTCTCAAGTTCACCAGAGTAGAATAAGCGGTCATTCTTGTGCCAGCATGCGCTGACGTCGGATTAGAGACCAACCAATAAGCAGCGAAACATTTTTTTCATGCTTATCTGATTTTGGCTCTCCAGACGACTTTTCTCCGACAAGAACATGGCACTTTCGTGCATGAGTTAGGTGAGGAAACCAGCTCTTTCTCGTGTTCAACTGTCGTATCTACAACAAGTCCTTAGAGCGCTTACGAAGAGCATGAAACTCACCCACGGCCACTCCGCTCGCCTTGTCAGACCGCTGCATTTTATGCGGCGCCCGTCGCGGAAAGTTTTTCCGATAACCAAGATTGAACAGAAGCTTGACAGTTGTCATGTGGGAGCATGTTGGTGACTCACAGGTGATTACCTTCAGCAGCGCTACTAGGGTGTTGGGTAGACGCTTACTTCTTCTCCGGTGGTTCAATACGTTGCCTGCCTCTGAATAAAGAATCTCAAGCTTCTAAGCGCTTATTCCGATTGATATTGTAGATTCGCAAGCGGAATCTTTGTTGGAAACAACACATGTTTTGCCCCTCGACTACGAAGGGTGGCCCTACAGGAACCCATAATATATTGGGTTATCCTGTTCAAAAACATGGAAGGTTTTATCCAAATAAAAGATTGGAACAAGTGAAAAGTTAATATTTTGGCTTTGAGATGAGCAGATCCCTTTCTATCAAAAACCTGCTCCCGGCGCCGCGGAAGCATTTGCACCACTAGCACCTTCGTTTTTCAAAAATGCGAGTGAATTGCTCTTGATGCCAGTCTCGCCGAATGCCAAAACGTCGTAGCGTTTGCCCTTGGACAATAACTTCTACGAGCAAGAACAGATGAAATTGCACGGCTGTAGGCCGGGCGGAGGCAGGCGATTGAACCACCTCTCAGCATCCTTTTGTGCAAGCACTGCCCAATAATACGATGATCGGGGGATGAACTGTGAACAGGGTACATCATCGTTGTGTGAAACCCATACGGCGGTCATACCTGGCAACTGAAAAAAAGGGGGGGGGGGTCGTAAACGAAGTGTCGGTGAACACTAAACAGCACAAAAGTGTCATCGCTAAGTTCGATGGAGCGGACGGGAAGCAGCAGAGGACACGAACGTAGGAAAGCTCACGAAATATTGAAACAATCTATTAGCTATCAACATCCTTTTCGTATGTGTTCAAGCCTGTACAAGATTATATGGCTTTATTCTAGGCCTACGTTTCGGCGTCTTCGCCTTCGTCTGAGCCTGAAATGGACAAAAAACATGTGACTTGCCCACTCAAGCACCTAGCAATCCTCAAGACAATTTTCCTAGACTAGTAAAGCATCCAACGATATCAATCAGTAGTACAGTGCACCTGATCAGCCGAAGCGATGCGAGGTCGACCACCCTGAGGAACACTTAATCGTGAAGTAACATTTACTATTTACCCACCCCAACCTCATGGTAGATCAAAATTTGCAAAGGTCGAGAAAGGGTGCCAGCTCACGCGTTATGGCCACACATTCTCCCTCTCTATTGATCTGAGGGTCCTTTGCAGTAAGAATCCAGAATGCCGCCTGTTTTACGCGTTGTGATCTCGGCCTCCTGCGCTAATATGGTCACCGACACATCGGATGTCGTGCCTTCATAATGGGGTACCCGATGGGCTCTAACCGGGGTATACGCTCGCGACCTACTGATTCCCTCCAAGATTTCCTTGACCCGCACACGGAGAGAACGACCTGTTCCCCCCCCCCTATATACTCATTGCCACAGCTTTGGCAGTGCATCGGAGATAACTGCCGACTTTATACAATCACCCTGCTTACAAAAGGGGCAAACGACACATTCTGAAGTGTCACACAATGTGTCGCACAGGCGTTGGTTGCAAAATCTTTCAGCTTCATTTTTTTACAATTATCTTTCCACTTTTTGCATCATTTATTTATTACAGGGTCGCAATGTTAAAGTGGACTTCTGAAAGAAAAAAAGCATATTCTCTGGCCGTATGGGCCGTTTCGAATGGTGGCATCGATTGATGGATGTTTCTAGGACTTGCGGAAATGAGCAGTCGAATAACATTAAATTCACACGGGAAAAACCCGTTAAGAATTGCTGCCGTTCCTCAAGTCGAGCTATCACGGGGGGGGGGGGGTCAGGACCAAATGGTATCGAAAGCCGAGCACTAAGAACATTTTGGTTCATTGTTCCTCGGCTCACCTGATTAAGACAAAGCGAGCTTTAGTAACAAACATGTTCAGGGCCGCCAGAAAGGATTCGTCCGATGTGGAGTTGAAAAGAGAATCCCTGAACATCTCAGGGCATTCCTTACCCAGTGGATATCCTTGCTCTAATGTGGCGCGAAATAGTCCGCAAGTCTTACAAACGGCCATCAATCGATGCCTAATAAGCTTGTTTTTCGCCTGCCCTTCATTCCCGATCAATTGCGTAAGGCAGTTCGATCAAAACATCGGTGTGATCTGCAAAACAAAATTAGGATTGTGAAAATACCCCCATCTGACCTTCAACGTCTAGTGGTTCGCAACCGCCTGTACGACATCGTTTGCCCCTTTGGTGAGCAGGGTTATTGTATGAAGTCGGCAGTTATCTCCTTGACACACTGTAAAAGCTGTGGCAGTGAGTATATAGGGGGAAACAGGTCGTTCACTCCGTGTGTGGGTCAGAACATCTGGAGGGACTTAGTTAGTAGGGCGCGAGCGTATACCCCGCTTGGAGCCCATCGGGTTCAACATCATGAAGGCACGACATCCGACGTGTCGGTGACCATATTAGCGCAGGAGGCCGAAATCACAGCGCGTAAGACAGGAGACGTTCTGGATTACCGCAAAGGAGCCTCAGATGAATAGAAAGGGAGAGCGTGTGGCCATAACGCGTGAGCTGGCACCCTTTCTCGACGTTTGCAAATTTCGATCTACCGTGAGGTCGAGGTGGGTAAATACTAAGAGTTAACTTCACGATCCCCCACAAATCCTATCCGCAGCCTCATCGTGGCGTGGGGGTGAACGGTTCTGGACTGTTCCAAAAACGTACGAATGTGGAAGGCGCCACGTCAGAGCCTGGCGAGCTACGCGTGGTTGAACTTCTTATCGCCGAAAACAGTAACGGTTATGGGCCTCATTCCCCCGAACCTGAGGGAACCTTCGACACGGCGACGTCGGCTGGGGCCGCTCGGGCGAGGCTGCTAAAATCACAGGGCCAATGGAGATTTAAGTCGCCAAGGACTAGGATGACGATCTGTACTTTCAACGCACGGACGCTTGCATCGGAAGCTCACATCGAGGATCTGATGTTACAAGCCAGGAAGATCAAGTACGACGTCACCGAACTGACCGAGACGAGGAAGGCCCCGCTACACGCCGTATACGAGACTGGAGAAGAACTGTTCCTAGGAACATGCGACAGCAGAGGCGTTGGCGGTGTGGGCATCCTCGTCAACACGCACTTGGAAATGAATTATCGATTCGTACGAAAGTCGCGACGACCCGAATCGGACGTTTGCGATTGAGAAGATGTGGTTCAACTCCGGCTTTGACAATCTTCGTCGCCTACGCACCAACATCAAGCTGCGACAAGGATGAGCTCGAAGCGTTCTATGTGGAATTGGAGAAGTTCTACAAGGAAGACCACACCTTCTTCAAGGTCGTCGTCGGTGATTTCAACGCTAAGATCGGACCAAGAAGAACGGCTGAAGAACTTCACATCGAACTCACGGAACGGAGTGGAATGAGCAGGATGAAAAAATGTCTGAGTTTATCATGTCGACCCACACCATCCGTGGTAACTCGCAGTTCCAGAAGTCCTACTTTCTACGCAGGACATGGGAGTCTCCTGGTGGACAATTCCATAACGAGATCGACCACATCATCTGCAATCGAAGGTTTTGCCTGACCGATGTCGCTGTTGTCCCTAAGTTCTACACGGGATCTGACCATCGTCTCCTTTGCGCAAGATTCGCTTTTCGATGCGAGGAGAGAGAGCCGCAAAGTTCAAGAAGCGAAGCCCAAGACCACCATCAAGTGGTCACTTCACTTCTCTCGCTGGGCTCTGGGAGGATTCTGTCATTGACAACATCGACGAAGAATACGAAAGGCTTGTTGCACATTTTCACGATTGCGCCAAGAAGTCAGAGGGTTCAAGATCACCAAGAAGCGTCTATCTCTGGAAACTCTCGAGCTGATTCGCCAACGTGGAGCCCCCACGAGCTCGCAGGCAATTAC